CGGCTCTCAGCCGGGCCGGCACCGGAGGCTAACGGGAGGCGGCGCATAAAAGAACCTGTGTAAGATGGAGGGGGCTGAAGGGAGCGGGACAGAGGGACGATCGTTGCGGGGCTCGATTGGAAACACGGTCTCCTCCCAAGGCGGGTGAGAAGGGGCATAAATAAGTTAGTAGGTGTTGTGGGAGAGCAACGATACCGTTTCTTGGCAATGCTTTAATGGAGCAACACACCAATCCGGGAAAACAGCAGTTTTTTGCAGGTTAGGATGTCCCTGTTGAAGCTTACAGAAGCCGTTTCCCCTTGTCGCTCCAGTTTTACCCTCAAACAGTCAGCTGTGGTTTTGTATTTCCTGATCAGGAGAACTGAGGGGATTCCATCGAGCCCTGTAAGCGCTGATTTTTAAGTGCATAGGCTCTCCTGTACTTGATAGGCTAGGGTGTCCTGCTAGGGCTTGCAAGAAATAGCTAATCCCCAACACGCAAGTGCATGCATTTATATTTATATCCCAGATAAAAAGAAGCGCGTGCTCCAGGCTGTGACAACTGCAGTTTCTCATCCGAAAAATTGACAGTGCTGTGAAGTTGTCTAATTTATATAGCAAAGTAAGTAAAGATTGGTTCCTTTTAGCAATTTTCCTTCAAACAAGGATTTGGGGAGTGCAGTGCTCTCAGTGTTGGAATGCAGATTATCCTGCTTTAGTTTTGTACGTGACAACCTAGACAGGTACTATCCCTAGAGCCATCGCAGAAGAACTGTAACAATAAGACAGTAACATATGAAAGGCTTTGATGAATGTCTTGTTCAGTACAAGAATGGAAGCATCGAATATGAGACACGGTCATGGTTACAGCTCTTGGCAGTGTTCTTGCCTGACCATTGCTGCTGAATTGTCTGTGTAACATTGCCATCTCGGGAGGGGCTGCAGTGCCACGTGCTGAGAATTTTTGGTTCGGGAGCTGTCAGGCTCCACAGGTTCTTTGCCAGTCTCTTGCAAGACAATGACTGATAAGGTTTTGTGAGAGTACTGCAGCCCAAGTGAGTGACAAGGGTAAGATTATAATAAAGCCACCATGCTGAGGGCTAAGACTAATGTTTCTCTTCCTCCTCTGTGAAGAAATAGTTTTGTGTAGTTTTCGTAATGGAAACATTTGCAACCATAGGAAATAAACTTTTCTGCCTTTCTTATGGCTCTTTTATATCTTTAGCACTTCTTACCTGCGGTGGTGAGCACCTGAAGAAAGTGATAATGCAACACCTGTTCGGGGGGTCCTGCCATTCATGCGTTCCTGTGAGAACTTCTAAGAATCTTGGCTCTCTGAGCTGGAAATTGGTGGCTGCTCTGCTCACTAGACTGTTCTGTCTGGATGGACATAAATTACCAACCTGAACTTTGGTTGGATTGCGTTCATCAACACTTTTTTCAGTTCCTTGTGAGGGAATATCCAGTCTTAGAAGAGCAATAAGCGCTATAGCACTGTATCTTCTGGGCAGTAGCTATGCTGCTGCTGTTCTGTTCACTTAAATTCTGGTAGTCCAGCGAGTTCATGCAGACTGTTCAGAGGCTTAGTTTAGGTGCAGGTATCTAACAATATAATGCTTGTGTGTCAGCTGGGCGTCTTGCCTTTCATGGTAGGTTTTGACTGTAAGTTGTAACTCTCTTAATATGAAAAATATGATGTAATGCAAAAAGGTAGACATGGGATAGTTGTTTTTTCTCTCGTTCTAGTGCCTAATACCTTCTTTTTTCTCTAGGGGGAAGCTGGGCCGGTATCCTCCATGGCCAGGAAAGGTGAGGTTTGGTTTGTTTTTATTTTTATTATTGCTTTCTTGGGTTTTGGTTTTTTGTTTTTGCTTTTTTCCTCTGCACAGAGAAAGCTTTGCTTGAAAGCATTTCAGTTAAAGATTAATATTGGGGGTTTTGTTTGAGTTTGGGGGTTTTTTTTGTTTTTTTTTTTTTTTTTTTTTAAATACAAACCTCACAAATCTGAACTGTGAACCGGTTTAGTGCTTTATTTGATCTAGAAGTTCAGCCTGTCACTAACAGCTGTTAGTTCAGATGGAATGAAAAGCAACAGAGAGCAGTTCATCCAGCTCTGGAACTGATTGTGTTTCCCAGATTTAGTTATTTAATCCCTATCACTTTCTGCAAGACAGGTTTCTTTCCTCCCATAGTAAATTGCTTAAATGCGTTGTGTTAAATAATAGAAATAAAGAGTCTGGCTTCTCAAGATACTGTTTTGGATCTATGTTTTTTGAATAATAATTCTGGGCATAGGGAGTAGTTAAACTTTCTCTTCTGTTTTGGTTGGGTTTTTTTCTGATGAAAGGCCAAAAAGAGTAAAAAAAATAATTACATGTGCCATTTTTATTATTTCTGCTTCTCTGAATGAACTTTGGTTTTATTTTTGGTGTAGGTATGAGGACTAAGCATGCTGAGATAACAGCATGCGGCAGGGAAAAGTGTTGTCAATGTGACTGACAATCATAAATGTTTGGTTTCACTCTGGTTATTGCATCAAGTCCAGGCTCCCCTGCAGTCTTTCAGGTGTCACCTGTGTAACTGAATGACAGCTTTTCTCTTTACTAATATTTTAGACTTTATAAACAATCTATTCTGGGAGTAAAGACAAAGCTTTAAATGTAAATTTTAAAATTTATCTCAGTGGAACAAACTTTTATTAATGCCATTTGGCTTTCTAAATTTTAAAAAAAGATCACTAGTTTATCTATTGGATAGGGAGAAGAAAACCTCACTAAGAATGTAGTGATGTTATCAGTGGAGTTTGGGTGCTTTTTCAGTTGCTGCAGCATACCCATGTCTAAGGAAATACATATTTACTTGAAAGACTTATAACAGATTCAAGTTCTCTTCCTAGTCAGATTAAAAAAAAAAATCTACAATAGCTGTAACACATGACAGTAAAACCACAGAGTATAAATTTTCATTACATGCTTTCTAACTTTCACTTCTAATCACCTTCAGATTGTTAATCCACCTAAAGATTTGAAGAAACCTCGTGGAAAAAAGTGCTTCTTTGTGAAGTTTTTTGGAACAGAAGATCAGTATGTACCTGCTTGTTTTCATCTGGTGAAAAGGCTGTGCCATATTGTATGGATCTTTCATGGAAGAAATGTTTACTAACACAGTGCAGCGTAGCTTTGCAAAGGATTGTCTTTGATCTACATGCAAAAAAAATTGAACTACTATTGCATGCTATAGCCGCTCATGTGGGTGTGTGAAGACTGTAAAGACTTACAGACTCAATCATGTTAGAATTTTAGTTGCCTCTGTGAAGGAAAGTTCTTGGTAGCTTGCCGTTTTTAGGGGAGTTGGTGTGACGTGACTGGGTTAGATTTTAGCATGTAACCATGTATGAGAAAGGTACAGCTAAGAGTATTCATTTGTTTTTCTGCCAGAAAAATAAAAGAGCTATATACTTGCCATTCGTAGAAGAACATACGGTCATACCTGGTGACTGAAAACATTCTTGCTGTGCTTTGGGAAGACTTTACAGTATAGGAAAGCCAAAACTGTTGCAGACTACCTTTTTGCAAGGCAGAATTTATTGATTAGAAATACGCATACAAAAATCATAGTTATCTTAGGCATAGATACTTACAAACTGGAAAAAAAACCAAAAACTTGAGTATTTCATGAAACTGAAAATTATTTTGCTGATTTTTCAGTTTTTCCCTTTATTTTCTGATATTTTGCATTAAGTCATGCAGTAAGGGAGAAAATTACAAATATCTGCGGAAGACTAGAAAACCCTTTACTTTTTGGAAAAAAGATAACAAGAACTGAGACCGTTTAATGGATGTTTTTTAAGGAAATTATTTTCAAGTGCTAAATTATTTTTGCTCAACATTTAAAAATCATTTTCCATTAAGAACCAAGGTCTAAACTTGATGGAGTAGAATTAAGTGCTGCATACTAATAGGAACATTTGTTGGATCTCTAGTAATGTAAGACAGGTGAAGGTTGGTTTGAGGGCAGAGAGTGTTTTTTGGTGGTGGCGTTGTTGTTAAACATGGTTATTTGAGCTAATCAAGTTCTAAAAGTTGAGGAGATTGACTGTTTCTATCCTGATTGTTTGTTCTCAATTCTTGTATTTCATGTTATTGAATCAAATACAGAGATTTTTTTTTATTAAGACAAGTTTGGAAAAAGTGGTCATATGTCTGGGGTACTGTAGCTGAGATTAGCAGCATGATTGCAAATGAAGAGTTCAGAGCTGCAAAATAATTGGGATTTATTACATGATTCTAGAGCTTTGGCTCGGGAAAATCCAGTCGTCTGGCACAGTGAGGTAGTGTGGTCGTTGTCTTGTCTCCCCCTCCCCCCACCCCACCTCCAGCTTGTGAAATTTAATCATTTCCTCCTAGGTAATCATGATTTAGAAATTTGCTCTCTTTGACTGGCATACCCTACCTGAAAATCAAATAGAAATAAATACCGTCCCCTTTGTTCTTCTTTTAAAATAATATTGATAGACAGAAGAGAGAGAAGCTTGTGTGCCTGTTCTGTCCTGACTTGGAACTTTAAAAGAGTGTGCTGATTAGAACTGTGCTGTTCTAACCAGTGTGCTGCTTGAGAAAATTCTTACCTTTGAGCATAATCAACAAACCAAATCAGGAAAAAATTAAATTATTTCACCTCAAATGTGAGCATGAAGAAAAAAATCCTTTTACCTACTTTGTGCAAGTAAACTAACGTGTTCCACAAATACCTTTTTTCTGGTGTGTATAAACAGTAAGTGGAAATACATAACTGACAAAATGTAACCACTCTACATTATGAACAGCATGACAAATAGGAGGGTGCAGAGCTCCATCACTGACTGTAGTCCGTGGTGTGATGAGTGCACTGACTCATACTGATATTCTGGTGCACGTTGCTTCTGTTTTCTAGCACTTCGCTCTTTCTGCCACTTTGAAGTTTGTAAGGTGACATTACTGTACCACTGATCCATTTTTACAGCTCTTCTATTATTGCCTTACTCTGTCAAGGTTTAACAGGTGAGGATCTGAATATAAACTAACCCTCTCACAAACTTCTGAGGGTCATTGCCAGCCAGTTTGTCGATGGGTAGGCAGTCTCAGACTCGATCGTCTTTTCTTCTTCTGAAGATTCCCAGGTGACTGCTGTGGCCAGAAATGCCACCATTTCAGGCTAGTTAAAAATTGTTTCCTCCTGACTTAAGTGGCTCTAGTCTGCCATACCAAAAATTAAGGAGAAAGGTGCTTGGAAGTAAGAACTGGTGTGCATACATCTGAGAGGAGTGGATGGGTGAATAGAAACATACTGATGAGTTTGGAAGTGGGATTGCTGTAGTATATTGATAGGTTTTGGTTATTTGTGAAGTCCTGAATAGCTTAGGATACAGCACAGAAGAAAATGCACGTTTATTTACCTGTGAATGGAATACTAATACTTACTGACCCAGTGCAATGCTGCAGTGACTAAGGAAATACATTAACTGGAAGGCTGTAAGTAGTTTTGGCCAAAGACATAAAAGTGAGAGCATGAGTGAGTACACATCTTAGTGTACTCTAAGACCTGGCTTTTGATAAAGTTTCTACTGAGCTCTATGCTCCTTATGTTTATTGTATCGGTGGAGTTAGTTGCTTCTGTCACTTTCAAAGTAATAGGTTTTCTGGAAGATATGGATTTTCTGCCCATGGAAGAAGAATTTGCTTATTTATTTAAACTGTGAAGTATGCCTGTGCTTTACCATGGTGAAAGCCACGTTGATATTCATAGTAGTAATATAATATCCATGTTCTATTCTAAGCGATTGCCTTAATTGTGATGCACATACTCATGTAATGTCTCTTATTAACTTGTTCTCCAAATTGATAAGGAGATTTTTCTAGTCTGCCTAGGAGTTCTTTTTCTGAGTGTCTCTTCTCAGAGTAAGTCACATTAAAAGGGTTCTTCATCTAAAATCAAGAAGAGTTGATGGTTCCTGCCCGTAGACCTGGCAAGCATGTGACAACATCCAATTATGGGAGTATAAACAGCAATTTTAATTTAGTCTTTCTAGATAGCAGTGGAACTTTGACCTCCTACCTGTGTTTCTACCTGTGCTTTTCAGATAGTTTTTAAGATCCCCTTTTGTTTCCCAAGTTACAGTCTTGTCATAGGAAATCTTTGTAGATCGTTCCAGTAGTCAAGTACTGGAGTAAGTATATATAAGTAAGAACTTATACATTGCTGTATACGTGCATTTATTGCTTTTAGTAGTTAGAACTAATATAATGGCAGGCCCATAGCCTATAAGTCTTTCTTGGTGTGCTTCATCCAGTTCAAAATATTCTTACGTTTCATGGCCTGCTTGGGAATTCATTACGACATTTCATTGATGATCTGGATGAGGGGATCGAGGGCACCCTCAGTCAGTTTGGAGATGACACCAAGTTGGGTGGAAGTGTCAGTCTGCTGGAGGGTAGGAAGGCCCTGCAGAGGGACCTGGACAGGCTGGGTCGTTGGGCCAGGGCCAACTGTATGAGATTCAACAAGGCTGTGCCGGGTCCTGCACTTGGGGCACAACCTCATGCAACACTACAGGCTTGGGGAGGAGTGGCTGGAGAGCTGTCTGGCGGAAAAGGACCTGGGGGTGTTGGTTGACAGCCGCCTGAACATGAGCCAGCAGTGTGCTC